GTCCCCTTGGCTTAGGTTTTATCGCATCAGTTGTTGCCATTCCAAGAATAAAAATGAAGCATCCTACCTCTGCCCTTCCTCTCCCGTTTGTGTAGCCCAAAAAGGGAAATTTTGGGAAAAAAAAAAAACCGTAAGAGGACAACCGAGAGCAATCCTCAAATGAATGAGTAATGGAGCAGCTGTAGTCTGGAAGTTATACTGGAGGATAAGATAGGTGGTCTCTTATAGAGCAATGTGAGTGCCTCGTAGAACGAGAATGTGTGAATGATACAGACAGGGCAGGAAACCTCATTGCCAAGGGGCAAAGAAGAAGCAGGACAATGTATGCTTAGGCAGTTCAAGACCTTAAGGAAGGCCAGCTCTCCTGAAGAAACGGACAGTCCCAAAATTACCAAGCCTCTTCACGGCCTCATGCACCACACCGAGGGTGCACAGTGGTATCAGCAAGGTCGCTGGCTTCCCTTAGCGTTTACCACGTGCTTGTCTAGAACCCCACAGGATAAGGAGGTGTGTCTGTGTTTCACCATTGTGCAAGTAACAGCACACACAGGTATAAAAGTCAACAGCGACTTGATACAGAAATCAAAATTCAAAGCCAGGCTGCCTGACTTTGCAGCACTCTTGTTACCTGTGGCGAATGTCTGGATTAGACACTAGGAATGGCTAGCGTGGACAGAATAATTTTCTTACGTTCAGGCAATGGTCTGCATGCTAGTGTCCCATATAATGCTCATACCAGTAGCTAGTGTTGTCACCCCATTTGACAGATGAGGGAATTGAGATCCGGAGAGGCTGACAGCGAAGGCCACCCTTAACAGCCAACACCCAAAGAAAGAGAGCACTAGCGACAGAAGCCTCGGTGGAATGAATTTAGGAGCCATATTGTGTTTTTGTTGATAAGACTATAGCGTCTGCTGGGTACGGAGCACCATGTCAAGGGCTTGTAGAAGCCAGAAGCTTGCAAAGATGCATGCATGCCTCCTGGTTCTCGCCTTCAACACAGTCTCCACCCCTTGAGGAAGACAATTGCATGCAGGAAAGGAATGAGAGGGTCATGGACAACTTCACAAAAGGCTCTTCAGTAAAGTGTCGTCCCTGAACACCTACCTCCCAGGAACTTTCACTGTGTGCTTTTTCTCTACAGGGACATAGAGACACAAGCAAAACCCAGTAACCCCTAATGCAGCCAGCCTAATTCCTTAAGTCAGCAGAAAAAAAGCAGCCATTCCCTCAATTCTTTCCAGGGCCAGGTGCGCCAATGCTTTTCAAACCCAGGAAAGAAGATCACAGGTATCCACCCTGCCCCAGGAATGGAATAATGAGTTGCTTCAAAATTACCTTCATTATCTCTGGGCACCCGCCCCCGTCCCAGACTAAATCACGTCACCCCTGGCAGAAAGGAGCATGGAAACATAAGATGAAAACAAAAACAGATCTAGGAAGTAATGCTACAGGACTACAAAATGGAAAATCCAAGACCCTATGCTCTTTCTACATGACCCTAGGCAAGTAGCATAACCTTGTGTGACTTTGTTTCCTTCACCCACAAAAAGAGGTTAGTGAATGTTTGCCCCTGTAGTGTAGTTGGGAGGGATGCATAGGTTAACGCTACAGAGTTCTTGAATTAGCTCCTAACATCTGGCGAGTACTCCACAGACAGTGCCTAAAGTTGCTCAATTACACATTTACAAAGGACCAGCTAGGACTAAAATGATTGACAAGAAGGTCTATATAAAGCATTTGAAGGATTCAGACTCTTAGGGTGAGGCATCCTGGGATCTCTTTCTGGAAAACTTCTAACATAAAGAAGCCAGTGTCTTTTCTGTAGGGCTCAATGGTATAAAATCCCAGATCTGTGGAGCCTGGGATCAAACTCTGATCCTTCACTGATAGCTGTGAAACCTTAACCAAGTTAAGTATCTGTTGGAACCCTCAGTTTCTTAATCTATAAAGGGGAAGAGTGATATTGAAGGTTCTTTTCCTGGTCATATTGTAAAAAATAATTTTCATAAGACCTATACAGAAAAGGGTTCATAGCAAATGATTAAAAAGTAAGTCATTAAAGAACTACAAGCCACTAAGAAATGCTGAGTGGGAGAAATAGTCTTCCCCAGGGAAGAGTACACCAATTGGTTATCTAATACCAAATGGTCATCACTGAAAATGTACATTCAAGAAACATTGTACAGACTGAGCAAGTGTGCAGACTGATCGGGATGTCTTGATATATGATTAAATATATACATAAAAGTATGCAGCAACAATTAACCAAAAAAGAAGCCATAAATTTGGGGGAAAAAAAAGGTAAAAAGGGGTATACAGGAGGGCCTAGAGAAAGGAAAGGGAAGGGGAAAATGAAGTAATTTTATTATATCTTGTATCAAAAGATACAAGAAATAATTAAAGTCAGTTGTTGCTGCTGTTGTTATTTGGACTCATTTAATTGATTGACTTTAGAGGAAGGATGCCATGTAGCCAAGGCTAATTGCAAACCTCTGATCCTCCAGCCTTCACTTCCCTTGGCTGGGACTGTGGCTGTGCACTGTCACACCCCACTGTTATTATGTTTGCTTGGATTATGATTGGATCTTTTTGTTCAACCTAATGTAAATAGTATGTCTTGTAGATGTCTTTCTACATTTTTTCAGCTACAAGTTCACTCTCGAGATTTATCTCTACCTCTCTCCAATAATTTATCAAGTCTCATTTTCATTTAATTTTTTTTTTGTGTGTGTGTGTTTCTGTTTTATCTACCTACACTGAACCATGAATCTCCTTAGGGCAGGGAATTTGTCTATTTGTTATAAAATTCTCTGATTTTGTTTGTTGGTTGATTTTAAGACAAGATTTTTCTTTTGTAACCCAGGTTGGCCTTTGTGGTAACTAGAATGAGAATAGTTCCCACAGGCTCATATATTTTAATACTGGGTCCCCAGTTGGTGGACTATTTAGGAAAGATTAGGAGGTGTTGCCTTGATGGAGGTGTGTCACTAGAGGTGGGCTTTGAGGTTTCAAAAGAGTCCTGTGATTCCCGGTGGACTCTTTTATCTCTGTCTCTTTCATTCTCTCTCTCTCTTTCTCTTTCTCTCTCCTCCCTCCCTCCTTGCATCCCTTCCTCCCTTGTGGTTGTAGATCAAGATGTGAACTCTCAACTCTTCCTTTGCTCTGCCATCATAAACTCTAACCCTCTAAAACTGTAAGCCAAATTAAAAGTTTTCTTTTATGAATTTCCTTGGTCATGGTGTTTTATCACAATAATGGAAAAGTAACTAAAACAGCTTCCAATTTGAAGTCCTCTCGACTCTGCCTCACAAGTTCTGGGATTACCACCCTGTGTCACCATTATCCCACTGGCTTGTTTTGCTTTTGTATAAGCTGGAGAGATGGCTCAGTGGTTAAGAACACTGTATATGCTCTTCCATCAGGGCCCTGATTCAATTCCCAGCACCCCACAAGGAAACTCACAATTGTCTGTAATGCTGATTCCAAGGGATCTGACACCTTCACACTAATGCACATAAAATAAAATTAAATAAGTTGTTTTGCTTTTGTAAAATAGTGTATTTCAGGAAATCCTATGAGGGAGTCTCCCCGTGGGAGATAGCTGTTACTAGCATTTTCAAGAGTCTGATAAAGCCAGGTGAAACCATATGCTGTGGGCATGAGCTGCAGTTTCTGCTGCACAAAAGAGACAGCTTTACACAACCACCTGAGCTCAGGTATAGCTTCTAGCCAGTGGTAGACCGTGCTACCTATGCCGTCCCTCCTCTAAGGCACCCAGACTTTCTCCGTCCCTACCCAGCCTTCCTGACAGCCTCAGAGTCCTCATCCCAGGCCTACCCTCAAAGTCTCATCCATACCACTCACACATCCATTCCCAAAGGATGCCAGCTCCAGCATTCAGCACCAGAGTCAAATTGCAGAAGGTTAGGAAATCCAGATGAATAGTGACAGCAAGATTTCACACCTGCTACTGGCTGCCTGGGGCACTTTTCATTTAGACACCTAGAATCCTGGAAAGGGAGCTCATTTCAGCCTGGTGTCCTCTGTCTCTGAGCTCCCTGCTCAGTAAGCCCCACTGGTAGGCACACCAGAGGCTGGACAGTCACAGTGCCTCCGTTCCTATAGAACTCAAGAGGCTATCAACAATAAGTTTCATTGTATTCCCTCCTCCATAGATTCACTGTCCTTCAAGCTGTTCCTTTCTAGGGAGTGCTTTCTGTCTTCCCGGCTCCTTAATTTGCCCTGCTGTTTGCCGGGGAAATTCACTTCTTCAAGGTGCTCAACAGAAGCAGCCTGTTCATTTGGGCTTCATGTTAATTTGTCAGCAAGCAAATATTTGTGGAAGACTTCCAAAAACCAAGGATCCCTGCTGGGCACTAGGGACAGCCCACCTTCTTGTTTGACAAGCATTAAGCCAATCCTTACAGATAATTAGTTACTAATGTGACTAGTGTGACACAAGACCCCAGAAAGAGACAGAATGTATGAAGACCCACGGGGAACCATTAGCTAAGCAATGTTATGCCCTAGAACAGACCCAGGTTTCTGGGGACCCTATGCCTGCCCTTGTACCTCTTCTGACATCCTCTGAGCTTTTGTTCTTCATGGAAAGATCCTTCAATTACTCATGGACAAAAGACAGTTAGGAAAGGCTATAGGAGTCAGTGCCATATAGCAAGCACTTCCGCTGAGACAAGTCAGACTGAAAACACCTAGTGGCCAGCACCATGCCCATAGGACCTGCTAAGTGTCCAGTAACTGAGTAATCAAATGGCTATGAACAAAGGGAAGACAAAAAGAAGAATGGGAGCCAGGTTAGTAAAATAGATTACGCCTCGGTGCGGTAACCTTATGTCCCTGACTGCCAGGCTGGTCTCAGTATGAGCCTGCTGTTCTCGTGTAGTGATACACACTCCATTCACTTTCAGTAGTACACAGAGCTAGAGGCAGCCATCTGTGCTCATTGTACTAGGAATGTATTTGACAAAGAAACTTACCTGTGAACTCCCTCAGACAGAGGAGAATCCTGTGTGCTCCAAGCGGGCCTGCAGCTCAGAAGGTGGGTCTGAGATATGAACTTTGAGAAAACACAGCGTGATGGAAAGTGATGGAAGAAACTCTCAGTATCCAAATCCTTCGGTGTATTATAGATTGCAATTTTTTCTTCTTTTATTTCTCTTTCCTGGGCTTTGATTTCATTGACTTAAAGGCAGGTTAAGGCTGTAGGTGTACTTCAATTGATAGAATGCTTTCCCTGGCATACACACAGACCTGTCTTTTATTCTCAAAAAACAGACAAGGCATTATCCACCTGTGATCTCAGTATCTGAGAGGTAAAGTCAGGGTGATCAGAAGTACAAATTCATCCTTGGCTACATCCAGAATTAAAGGCCAGCTTGTGATACGTGAGACCCTCTCTCAAAAACAAAACTAAACAACAATAATATAACTATTGCATTTCCTCTAGAAGCTGGTGTAATAGCCCACAAGCTAATGTGTATGCATTCTGGTCTGCTGGCCATATACGATCCTAATAGTCATTAGCTGGCATCATGATTAAGTCTTTTTAATTATAATTATTAATATATATTAATTATATAAATTATTGGGTTCCACTGTGACATTCCATGTGTGTACACAAGTCTTGACTACTCAATTGTGTTAAGTTCTCAGATCCTCACATGTTCCTCCCCCACAGTGAGAACTAGGTCATTCCCATTTTGTTTCTGATACCTGTGTCTCCACCATTCCACTGTGATTTCCTTCGGGGGAGGAATCCTTTCTTGGTCTCTCCTTGTTATGATTTGAATGTAAAACCTCTGCCATGTGCTCGTGTGTTTGGACATGTCATCCCTAGCTGGTGGTGTTATTTTAGAAGATGGTGGCGGCTTTGGGATATACAGTCCGGCTGTCAGGTGTAAGTAACCAGGAGCAAGCGTTGAAGGTTACGTTTGCCTCTGGTCCTGATCTAGCTCCTTGTGCCTTCTCATCCTCACCATGAGAAGACCTCCTGCTAACTGCTTCTGCCACCATACTTTGCCTTCTATGAACTGGCGCCCTCTAAAACTGAGTCAAAATGAACCTTTCTTCACTCAAGTGACTTCTGTTATGTATTTTAGTAGTGAGAAGAAAAGTGACATGCAGAAATGCCTGCTGCCAATCTCCTAGTAGTCATTAGCTGGCACTGTGAAGTCTTAATGATGTATAAAGAAAACCCCAGTTTTGATGCCAACACTTTCCTGCTTTCTGTTCTCTCAGTGCCAAACTTCCTTTCTTTTGTTTTTATTTAAATTTTTTTGTGTTTATCTTTTCTTTTCTCCAGTTCTTCCCAGATTCTCCCCCATTCCTTCCTTCCTCCCTCCCTTCCTTCTTTTTTCTTCCCTCTTTCCCTTCCTCCCTTAAAACAGACAAAATACCAGTAGGACAAAAATAACAAATCAAAACAAAATGAAACTAAAAGCATACACACACACACACACACATACACACACACACACACACACAAATAGAGTCTGGTTGGGTTGACCAACCACCCTGGGAATGAGGCCTGCCCTGAAGTTGTTAAATCTAATGACATGCTTTTGGAGAAAGCTAATTTTTCCCTTTCCCAGCCAAAGTCACCGGCAAATAGCTTCTTGGTGAAGAGTGGGACTCTGTGCCTACCTCTCCTTCTGGGTACTGGGATTGTCTGGCTTGAATAGGACCTGTGTATGTGCGGTCACAGTTTCTGTGAGTTCCTGTTGTGTCTGGACGATGTTGTTACCCTGGAGTCAACCACCATCCCTGGCTCTTGTAATTTTTCTGCTTTCTCTTTGACACAAATTTCTTAAGGAGAAGGTTTTGATAAAAACATCCCATTTAAGATTGAGTACTCTGAAGTCTCCTGCTTTCTGCAAGATGTCCAATCTATTATCCATCTTCCCCTCTTCTCTACCCACTCACATTCTTCCTTACTCCCAATCCCAATCAGCCACAGGATACCTTACAGACTTGGAGACATCCCTTCTTGACGTATCTTAGAGCTTCACAGACCTGTCTCTTCTAGCACTCACCTCAGTAGGAACATTATATTAAGGCATTTTGTTTCTACTGGTATGGTCCTTTGCCTGGACTAAAAAGGCAAAACAACAAAAAAGCAGAACTAGAGTTCAAAGTCTTGCCTACTTCGTGCATTGCCAAGTTCCTCAAATCTAACCTGGAAGAAAATAAATATCCATCCAATAAAAGAAGCAAAAGCATGGGAAGATATTGAAGAAAATGTCCGAGTCACCTAGAAGATCAAAGGATTTCTTCATGCCCCACCGGAATTGCTCATGCGCTGACCCTTCGATGAGCGCAGGTTTACTCACTAAACCATCACAACACTATCAGAAGAACCCCAAATCCCAAAATCCAAGAGGAGACACGTGTTTATGGATGCAAGAGGGAGACATATAAGTAACCCTGAAAAATATTTAGAGTGATTTTCAATGTCATACAAGTTTGGTTTCTTGTATAGAAGAGGTTTTCAAAGAATCTAAACTTCCTGCTTCCCCGGAAATGGGCAATCCTTGAGCTAAGGTGGAAATTGGCACCCACTTGGGCACTGCCTTAGAAAATCACCTGATGTGTCTGGGCTTATCTGGGAAAGGCAGACAGATGATATTTAACTCACTAGGAGTGAAGAGGGTTAATTAACACTTGCAGTGTGTTGAGATGTGAGATTAAAGGACCTGATAAAAGGGTGTCAGCACCCAGCAAGCCACTGGGCTCTGATAAATTAGATCAGGAAGAGGATGCCACTGTAGCTCCTTAAGCAGTCCCATCTTCCAGTCTTCTCTATCGGCCTTTCCTTGTGCCCTAAGCCTGGAATCCTTGCCACCGCACTGCTGTTTGTCTCACTTTCCCCTGCAATGCCTTCCTCCTTTAAACATATTAAATCCTGCAGAGACCCTTGAGGACCTACCTGATCTGCAAAATCATTCTCCAATCATTCACTCATTTATCTATGAGCACAGCAAGGCTTTATTGAGCGTCTACCATGTCCCAGACTCTGCCAAGAGGACTAGCAACAGTAGGTTTAGTACTTCTGACCTCATGCAGCCAAGATTAATACTCAGAAAGACTTCACAAGGTATCCAGGGACATTTCTCAGTAATTATATCAGAATCGAAAGCCACATTTCCCAGGTTCTAACACACATAGTTTCTCCTGCACTGAATGCTACATCCCACCACACCTCAAGGCACATGGTCTGATGGAAATAATTGCTTGTTGGATGAGACATCATCACCAGAGTAGAACTGAGCACATTGAATGGATATATGGGTGGTCCGTGAAATTCAGTTCAAATCTGTCTCTCGCAATAGTGTCAGAGGGACCTTTCCTGAAAGCAAAAAGAAAACATTTTGTTCTAAGTGAAAAAAGACATCCAAAACTGTACTTACTCTCTAAGCATTTCTTCCTAAACACCTGTCACCTGCCCACCTGCCTAGATTGCCACCACTGGTTTCCTCCTTGAGGAAAAAAAAACTCAAAAGACCCCATTGCTTCCCCTCATTTGCTTCCAGGAGGGAAACCACAAGGAACAGGGGGAAATATGAGTTCTCAGACAACCTAGGAACAGTCCCTGCTCTGCTCTTTACTGGCTGCAAGGCACTGGACAAAGCCAGAATCACAATAATCCCAATCCCTTAGAGCTGCTGTGGGGACTTAAATACTCCTCTCCTCGCACTGTCCAGGCCTGATGCATAATAATGGCTCATGAACTCATTGGCATCTCTCTGCAAAGCACAGTCCCTTCCACAGATACCAGGTTCTTAAAACTGGGCAAATAAGCCTAAGCACTATGACTTTGTGACTTCAGCAGGACATACGGGACTCACTGCCTACACAGTCAGCTGTCTTACCTTCAGCAGCTCTGTTCTGACACCTTTTCTGTGACAACCTTGAGCTGCAGGTGGCTTGGCTGAGGTCCTGTGGCATTCTGCACATGTCCTCAAATTGGCTTTCTCCTCTCAGTGTGGCTTCATGGGTGTGCACCCCCATGTAGAAAGCCATTGGGTTAGTTAATCATTGTACCAGTCTCATGGAACTCAGGCTGGCCAGATAGCAGGGGACAAAGGTCTATAGTCAGCACAACTAGGACGGGGAGTCAAAGCCTCTCCCAGCTGACTGGTGGCAGAGGAGCCTCCAGGAAAGGTGAAAAAGCAGGGTCTGTTCCCACTAAGTGGTTTGGATTAGCTGCCTTCTGAAAACTGGATTTCGTCTTTAAAACAATTTCTGAATTCTCTCAACAGATTCAAAGACCAGGCAAACTGAGGCTTTACGTAGGCATGGAACAAATGCATCCAGAACTGAGGGACTGCAGCCTGCTTTGCAGGGACCTGTGTCTGCACTTCTCACTGGTGGTCCTGTGACAAAGACCCGGGTAGGAAAAGAGACATTCTAAAGAAAGACACAGTCTTCGCTGGCTGCGTGATTACCTTCTGTCACCTGCAGAAATCACATGTGTAACAGCTGTGTGGGAGCAGGAGCAGAAGCTGACCTCCAAAGAAAGGGTCCCTCAGGCTTCTACCTTGTAGCCATCAAAGAATACCACAGAATGTTTGAGGCTCTTCTCGTTCAGAAATGGAGATGCTCCTGGAGTTGGAGAGATACAGTTCAGTGGTTAAGAATGTTCTGTGCTCTTTCAGAGAATCAGAGTTCAGGCTCACCTCAGCCGGTTCACATCCACCTCCAGGGCATGTGATACCATCTTCTGGCCACAGTGGGTGCCCCCCCATGACCACACACATATACACACAAATAAATAACAAAATAAATATGGGGCGTCTTTAATACTCAATTTCCCTCCTCTAGTCTTGAACAAAAATCTGCCTTTGTCACAGAGGAGAGCAGGAGTTAACCTGAACCTGGACTTGCTTCATCAACAGAAAATGACCTATGGGGGAGTTAACTTGTCTCACGAATTTGCACATGACCTAGCCTTTGTAAGATGGCCACAGGGCTGGTGGGAAACGAGTTAAACTCCATTCTTTGCTTTCATCTGACCAAACTATAAATCAAATCATTTTCCTTCCCCAATTTCTGTTTTCTCATTTCCCCAGTGAGTGAGTTTTCTTCTGCACCTAAGCGTGTGGACAGAGCCGCGCTGACTCACTGCAGCCCCCTTGTAATCTGTCTGCTTCACTGATTTTCTTCTTACCTGGCCTGATA